GGCTTTTACATACACTTTAGAGGAAAAAGTCTGGTGGTGCCCCTTCACATTACACCCCGCTGCTTCACAAAACCAGGGAGAGAAATGTAGTCGGTTTATGCTTTCTTTTTTCCCCGTGATGGTGGAGGTGGAGGAGTGTGGAAATTCTAACTCGATGACAGTCCCTGGTGTTTGGCTCCTGCTGGCATCGGGGTGCAAATCCACCGTCAGCCAAGGAGCCCCCAGTCCGTGGACACCGGCGTCATCCAACGGGCAGAAAATGTGTCCCCCCCCCCTCCCCGTCTTCTTCACACCTGTAACAAGCGAGATCTTCTTTGGTACTGCTTTTTTAAGGGAAATTTTCCCGAAGACTTGACTCCCTATCCCCCCGCTGGTTTCATATCCTTAGGATTCCCAGCACACTACTATCAAAGAGTTAAAATTAGTCCTTAGCCAGTTGCAGCAAACGAAGATCCAATATCTGGAATGCAAGAAAAATATTTCAGATCAATGATACACGTAAGGCAGTTTGCGAAGCTAATTTAAGACTATGTTAAGAATAACATTGCACATGCATTGATATAGCAAAATAGAAACAACGACAATGCATTGTACGTGTCATCTGCAGCCAAGAGGCACATTACAGATTGTAAACGGACGCTAGCACAAACGACACCGCGAGAGCTCCAAGGCGTAAGATATTAAGTGTTCTCGACCTATTCTGGCTTTATTTGAACAAAACAAAAAACCAACAACAACAAATAAATTAGCCAACCCAGTGCAGCAATGCTACAGTTTTACGCGCTGGCTGATGCAAAAAAAAAAAAACCCAAACACAAACAGAAATCCGTCGCCCGTTACCCGAGATCAGTAGATGTGAACCTACGCTGACGGCCAAGCTGCACTCTTTTACTTCACCGCTTCAAAAAATACTAATCGCTCGTTTCGTAGAGGCAGCACGGCCTCGGATCCCTCTGCTTGAATACTACACTTGACTTGTTTATATTAATAATGAAAACCCTCGTCTCTTACCTGCTCGGCGTAATAAAAACGCACCAGCCCCCCGGCACTCCGTGCCCGGTTTATCCTCTGCTTAACTCTTTCATCTCCAGACGCCTGTCCTGCCTTTATTTTTTTTAAATGTGTATGTTTCTGGAAAAGAACCGGCAGACTGGAGACCCTCCTTCTAGTCACCAAAGCTGAAGTCCAGCAGATACGATGTCAAGTACAATCCAGAGAGACCGAATTAGTAGTACGACTGCTACTCCTAATATATCACTTTATGGACGTCCCGTCGCTGGCATCTCTTCCTCGGCCTCCAAAAATCCGGCATGCAGCGCTTCGCTGATGTATGTTAATTTACGTATTTACTTTTCCTGGCGTGTATCCGTGTCGGTGTAAATAGGATAGGTTTTGAACCCCTTAAATTTGCAGCCGCCGTCAGGCTGTCGCCATCTTGTTTACCTCCCCCCTCGCTCAAGACCGAAACGCCAGCCCCTTACGTCAGCGCGTCAATATGGCAACCACTTGCGTGCGCACTTATTGGCTACACGTCGTGTCAATCACTTCCCAACACGGTCCCCTGGAGAGGCGGAACCATCGAGCGTCAGAAGCTGATTGGTCGATTCCCTCCATCGATCAATGCAACTTTCCATTGCCTGTGTGTGAGAGGGAAGCTAGGCTGCCGTACTGTATTCTGTTTGGCCGGGCAGCTCGTCAGGTTCATAATGTCATGTATAACAAGTTCTGCCTTTTCGAAATCTTTGTATTACTGTATGTATTGGGATTCTCATAGAGTGGACCGATCCCAGGTTTACGCTTATTGGCTGATCGTTACTATCAATCCTAAATCAGGGGAAAATCCCAGAATTTGCACGGAGTTAAAAGGAGTTTCCATAGCGTGCCGCCGTCACTGGCTTTTACTTGAAAAACTCGGGCAGTTATTTCTCCCAGCAAAGCACAGGCGCTGCGGACTGGATGTGATATAACACTTTCACAAGCAGCCTACGTTTGTCACAGAGCACACAACGGGTGGCGACAGTCACAGCGGCGACCGGTTTCAAGCTTTCTGGATGAGACGCGGCAATGCTATTTCAGATGCACTCTTGTTAGAAATGACAATGAATTCACTACGCCAGCAGGGTCTAAGTGGACAATGACACCCCGTCAATATGGCTAATTGTCGGTGTTTTTAATCTCTTTATGTGCGTGCACAGAAATCGTCAACTTAGAAGATTCCTAAAAGATGCCAAACGGCAGGTTTTGTTTACGGAGCTAAATCTGTAAACGTTATAACTCTAATGTTAGCAAATAAGATACACGTAGAAAATGTCTTAATTATACACACCCACATAAACTACCTGAATGACGATCCCATCTCTATATATATATAATGCGTCTCATTGTTTTTAATATTTAATCAATGGTATTTATAGGAACGCGTAGAGGTTAATTCCCCGCTGAAAATGAAAAAGAAAACCGTTTCGGCTGCGGATGTTTGTTCAGGGTGTTTGTTACTTTTACAGCTAGGCTTCATCCAAAACCGTGTTCCCGTTCTCTTGACTGTAAATGATGATGATCGCGCAGGACCTATGTTTTAGATGCACCCGAGTCACTTGCGCGTAAGCACGTCACCACAGCTTTGTGTACCGGTTAGGCAAGCAAACAGTTGCTCTCTACTACCGTGCGTTGCCTGCGCTGTAAAATAACTTTCTATTTCCGTGCCAGTCAAATGCGGTATACGAGACTGCTCTCCGCCTAGCTCTCTCACAAAATGCCCGCTTGGTTTATTTTCGATTCTTACTGTTCTTTACTCTGTGCTTAAAATAGCCCCCCATACTCTCCCTCTCTCCCGTTTGTACACGTGTGGTATCCCGGTATCCTGGCTCTGACATTCTGCACGGAGACCCCGGGCAACAGCATCGACCCTCCAGCCTCGGAAGACTCATTATAACGAAACGAGAGCAGGGCTGCAGGAGACTCGCGCAACGCCACAGCCTGTCAGAATCCCGTGTGAAGAGAACCGAGCACGAATGACTCTGAGCTTTTGCATTTACCCTTAACAGAAGCCCGTATTGTATGCAATAGGTAGGATCTGTACTAAATCAGGGCAGGGCGTTGGCTCTGTGGCTAAGGATCTGCGCCTGTGGCTGGAAAGTTGCCGGTTCGAATCCTGCGGAGGAATCCTACTCCGTTGGGCCCCTGAGGAGGGCCCTTAACCCCAACTGCTCCAGGGGTGCCGTATAAATGGCTGACCCTGCACTCTGAGCCCAAGTGTCTCTCCCTGTCTGTGTCTCATGGAGAACAAGCAGGGGTATGTGAAAAGACAAATTCCTAATGCAAGAAATTGTACAGGGCCAATAAAGTGATCTTAAACTACCCACGTGACTGGATCCAGTCCAAAAGACTGGTTCATCCTATCCAAAGCAGCGAGAACAATCTAGAACTCGGGCTGCACCATGATTGCCTGTCTGGGTTCTAGTCCTAATGGCTGTAGGTTCAAATGCTGGTGGGATGTCTCTCTGCATTTGGCATTTCTTTCCAGTTTGCACCTATAAATGAGCCACATTCCTTGAAGGTGTTACAGCATATTCAAATATGAGTGTGTTCTCATTTGACTAGAATGAACCCATCAGCTGCTTGCGAGCATTTTTTAACATAATTCTCCATCGGGAAGGGTGGTATATACCGTACAAAACAGAAGAAACTGCTGATCAGGTCAGAGAATCCATAAGAATCTAGAAACTACAATGAGAACTGCACGATCTCAATGGAAATCATTCCTGACATTCACATCTGATTGCCTGTCCAATAAGTACTTATAACCAGTGCCGGATTTCCCATTAGGCACTGCAGGCACAGTGTCTAGGGCCTATTAAGGAGTGAAACACTAGTGACTCACGAAAAATGAGCTGAAACAACATGCTTGTGATCGACTCTCGGTTCTCCACATCTACAATCACACGCTCTCTAGAGGCTGTTCGAGAAACTAGAAGTGTGGAAGTGATGGTCTCTCGACTCGCCCCAGCAATCCCCTGGTTTAGCATGAGAACAGTTTCAAGTGCATCTTGTCCATCGACGTCATTCAACTGGTGTTGACCTCTCTCCTGGCACAACTCAGAGTGAAAGTGCCGAGGGCCCACGAGCACCACAGTCCGGTCCTGCTCATAACCCAGAGGGCTTGCTGTGCAGTAACTGGACTGAGCAGTCCAGAGCAATTCTGATCAACACTGCAGCTCTGAGCTCTGTTTTGGCCCCCACCTCCAGCCACACATTCGATTGTTTTTCAGGCTGGCTGCAAGCACAAAAAATGATCTGATTTTCTGACCTTCTTCGACCCCGGCGCTGGAAAGCATTCCACTAGGGACTGCTGCGTCTGCTGGCCAGATCTGGGCACACACAGTCGTGTTATTGCTGATTGTCTCTGGCAGCCGCAGCCATTTAAACAAAGTAGATTCGTGTCACTGATGCTGT